ACCACAGGTTACAGTAAGGGTATCAGCTTACATCCCTGCTTCAGGGAAAGGCTTCCCAGTGTATCAGCTCTGCTTCAGCAGGGAGGATTTCCCCAGCAAAGTTGTTACAGTTCCAGTTCAGCTCCAGCCTCCTGGGAGGGAGTGTAACAACTTCGCTTAGCCAGTGAAAAGTGTTACAGCTCTGTTCCACTCTGCTCTGCCCAGGGTCGTCTCTGCTCCCACAAAAGAAGGTCTCACCCAAACCTCATTCAAGAGATTTATTGGGAGGGAAGAATCCAGGAGAGTGACTGCCCTCTGCCAAGCATCCTGAACAGCCAGAAGCTGAAAATACACAGGGATTCTTAGGAGGCAGAGTTTTCCCAGGGAGATTTCCAGCCTGGGGATTGGTCAGATTTTAATCCCTGAGCTCAGAATGGTTAGATCTCCTGCTCAGGGATTGATTCGTTTTTTGCACAGGTTTAGGGTCAGATTTGGCTCTGGTTTCAGGGCCAAAGGGGGTTTTTCCACTGGTCCTTTTTAGCCTCTGACTCTAATTTTAGGGCCATGGTGTTTTTCTTTCACTGGCTCTGATTCCAGGGCCAAAGTGTGTTTCTTTGGCACTGGTTTCAGAGTCAGGGTGAATTTCTTTGGTTCTGGTTGCAGGGCCAAAGTGTGCCTTTCTTTGGCTCTGCTCAGGTTTGGCTGGCCCTTTTTCCTTACATTTATAGCTATAGACAGTTGTGAGCTGCCATGTGGGTGCTGGGAACTGAACCTGGGTCCTCTGGAAGAACCAGTGCCCTCAATCACTGAGCCATATCTGCAGTCCCAGGTTCAAGTTTTGCTTTCAGGGGGCCCTGTGGTCAGCCAGACCAGAGGTGAAGTTCCCCTGCACCAGATGTGTGTGGGGGGTTGGTACAGGCTCACCTGCCCTCTGGGCTGGCTGGTGTGGCCTACTATCCCACTCACCAACCCACCTGGCCACCATTCTGAGCACTGAGGTCTGGGATCTGGTCAAGACTGTCACCCCACCCCGTGATAAGCCAGTGTGCTCTGTCAGCATTAGGAGCAAGGGGCAAGGTGACATGGTGGTCTACAGCCAGAGTCTGTGGAGCCCATATGCAGACAGCTTTGTCACTTCCCTGTATGTGAACTGTACATTCCTCTGTGTGGCAATGGTACATGCCCTCTGGAGTGAGCGCTGCAGGGTGGGGACCTGGGACCCACATGGAGCTCCATAGCAAGCTATGACACAGAATCTCCGTCCCCTGTCTGCCAATCAGTACCACCTATGAGAACAGTGTTCACCTGGACGAGGCCGGCAGTTAGCTCAAGTCAACTGAAGGGGTGAGATGCAGAGTCTAAAGGCCACACACACCACAGAGCTCCTCTGCCTCTGGCCAGGACAGTGTCAGCCATGCACAGTGCCCAGAAAGACATGCAGATCAGAAGTTCTGAGTGGTAGCTTGCTCATGTCTTTGATTAATGAAAACACGGGAGATAAGTAATCATGATTTAATACTTGAAATTTGGGATCAAAATTCTCCAAAACATAGGAAAAAGAATTAAGGGAGGGAGGGGTTGTTTTGTTTTGTTTTGTTTTTTTTGAGACAGAATCTGGTCATGTTGCTCAGACTGGTCATGGATCCCTGGACTCAAGCGATCCTCCTACCTCAGCATCTGAGTAGCTGAGACTACAGGGGTGCACCATCATGTTAGGTGTGCAGACTACAGGAGTGCACCATCGTGTTAGGTGTGCAGACTACAGGAGTGCACCATCGTGTTGGGTGTGCAGACTACAGGAGTGCACCATCATTCTGGGTGTGCAGACTACAGGAGTGCACCATCATTCTGGGTGTGCAGACTACAGGAGTGCACCATCATTCTGGGTGTGCAGACTACAGGAGTGCACCATCATTCTGGGTGTGCAGACTACAGGAGTGCACCATCGTGTTGGGTGTGCAGACTACAGGAATGCACCATCGTGCTGGGTGTGCAGACTACAGGAGTGCACCATCGTGTTAGGTGTGCAGACTACAGGAGTGCATCATCCTCCTGGGTGTGCAGACTACAGGAGTGCACCATCGTGTTGGGTGTGCAGACTACAGGAATGCACCATCATTCTGGGTGTGCAGACTACAGGAGTGCACCATCGTGTCTGGGTGTGCAGACTACAGGAGTGCACCATCATTCTGGGTGTGCAGACTACAGGAGTGCACCATCATTCTGGGTGTGCAGACTACAGGAGTGCACCATCATTCTGGGTGTGCAGACTACAGGAATGCACCATCGTGCTGGGTGTGCAGACTACAGGAGTGCACCATCGTGTTAGGTGTGCAGACTACAGGAGTGCACCATCGTGCTGGGTGTGCAGACTACAGGAGTGCACCATCGTGCTGGGTGTGCAGACTACAGGAGTGCACCATCGTGCTGGGTGTGCAGACTACAGGAGTGCACCATCCTCCTGGGTGTGCAGACTACAGGAGTGCACCATCATTCTGGGTGTGCAGACTACAGGAGTGCACCATCGTGCTGGGTGTGCAGACTACAGGAGTGCACCATCGTGCTGGGTGTGCAGACTACAGGAGTGCACCATCGTGCTGGGTGTGCAGACTACAGGAGTGCACCATCGTGTTGGGTGTGCAGACTACAGGAGTGCACCATCGTGCTGGGTGTGCAGACTACAGGAATGCACCATCGTGCTGGGTGTGCAGACTACAGGAATGCACCATCGTGTTGGGTGTGCAGACTACAGGAATGCACCATCGTGTTGGGTGTGCAGACTACAGGAGTGCACCATCATTCTGGGTGTGCAGGCTACAGGAGTGCACCATCAAGTTAGGTGTGCAGACTACAGGAGTGCACCATCGTGTTAGGTGTGCAGACTACAGGAGTGCACCATCGTGTTGGGTGTGCAGACTACAGGAGTGCACCATCGTGTTGGGTGTGCAGACTACAGGAGTGCACCATCGTGTTGGGTGTGCAGACTACAGGAGTGCACCATCGTGTTGGGTGTGCAGACTACAGGAGTGCACCATCGTGCTGGGTGTGCAGACTACAGGAGTGCACCATTGTGCTGGGTGTGCAGACTACAGGAGTGCACCATCGTGTCGGGTGTGCACAGCATTACTGAATGTGATGTCTGGGAAGAAATGCTGTCCTCAGAGGTCAGCTGAGCACTGCTGGGAATGGCTACCGGGAGAGGAGATGGGGGTAGACTGGGCTTGTCATGACTTGAGTATGAAATGCCCCCATATGTTGAAAGTCTGATCCCCATGTGTGCTATTTTGGAGGGTGCTAGACACTTTTGTGGTACCTAGCTGGAGGAAGTAGGTCATTGAGGGTGCATGAGTATCAGGGTGTCTTTGGGGGCTCCATCTTGTCCTGATCCCTTCCTGTCTCTCTCTGCTGTTTCCTGGTTGTGAGGAGGGAGAAAGCTCTGTTCTCTCTCGCTGGCTGTTATGATGCTGTGCACAGTCTTAGATCCCAAGCAATGGAGTCAGTTGGCCATGGGCTGAAACTCTGAACTCCTTCCTCTAATACAGGCCTAGGTGCCCATGGCTGTGCAAGCTGTTTCCCTCATCCTCACTAGAATGAGGGATAAACCATTATATAGAATGGGCAAACTGAGCTTCAAAAGGGCTAAGTTACTTGCTGTGGGTCATAGGAAGAAAGAAGAACCTAGGTCTGATTTATTTTAAAAAGTGGATAAAAATGGAAAAAAAAGAGTGCACTACCATGGTGTTTGGCAAGTCAGTTGAGATCTGAGCTCATGAAGAAAAGAGGAAAAACAGGGGAACCAAGAGCCTGCCATGCCTGAGGACCAGGAACACCCGCCTGTACTATTGGGTCCCACACCTAGAAGGCCAGGGGGCACAGGAGCTCACAGACTCTTCAGTGAATTGTTGAAGAGCTATGAAGGGCCAACACTGCCGTGAGGAGGGAGGGCAAGGGAACATTTGAAGCCCCTACTTTCTGAAGTGTATGGACTGCTATGTTGGATGATTTTGTTTTGCTCTGGTTTTGATACAGCCTCTCAGGGACCTCTGGCTACCTTCAAATGTATTATGTAGCCAAGGATAACCTTGATCTGATCCTCCTATCTCCACCTCCCAAGTGCTGGGGTTACAGGTGTGCACCTGCCTGAGTACAGTAGATACTATTTTGCAATCTTTAACTGTAGAAGTACTTTTTAAACACAGGGAACACCCACATTTTCCAGAAGCTCATTTCAAGTATTTTCTGTAACACAAGAGCACCTATGGCCAGTAGTCCCTCCCCAGCCCTCTCCTCTCCATCTATCTATCTATCTATCACCAGCAGGCTCCACCCCAGCCCTTGCCTGTCCATCTATCTATCTATCTATCAATCACCAGCAGGCTCCACCCCAGCCCTCACCTGTCCATCTATCTATCTATCTATCACCAGCAGGCTCCACCCCAGCCCTCTCCTCTCCATCCGTTACCAACAGTCCTCCCCCACAGCTCTGGCCCTCCCCTACCCATCTTCCTCCGGCAGTCCCCCACCTTTCTGTGTGCTTTATAATTCCCAAGTATACTATCTCTGTCCAATTTTTTTTTGCTTTTTACTGGAGTGTGTGTTTTGTGTGTGTGTGTGTGTGTGTGTGTGCGTGTGTGTGTGTTGCATTGTGTGTGTGTGTGTTCACCAGAGGACAATTTTGGGGAGTTGATCCTCTCTTTTCACCATGTTGGTTCCAGGGTTCAAACTCAGGTTTGACGTCAGGCTTGCTGCAAGCACTTATAGCTGCTGAGCCATCTTGCTGGCCCTGTACAATCCTGTCACTATGTGCAGCTTATCCCATTATGATTTTTAAAAACATTTAATGCATGTTGGTACATGGAGACCTGGTCCTGTCATTGCAACTACAGTCTAGCGTCTCCCCGGAATCCTTTACTGGGGCTAGGGTGTGGTGGAGTATGTCCTTAATTGAGTAACCATGAGGCTCTAGGATCAGTCCCCAGCATTAAAGCAAAACAAACAAAGGAGAACTGCTTATTTCTCAATTCACTTTTCCATGGATAAATTTTAGTTTTGACTGTCTCACGCCATACAGGAACAGAAGTCTTTACATGTACCCCCAGGTGTACTCACATATCATATAACTTTTTTAAAAAATTACAATGCTTGAACTTGGTGGCTCAGTGGCTTAGCTTGTGTCTCTAACCTGGGGTAATATAACGGCATGATTCCCTATAGATGGCGAGTTCTGCCACTTGTCCATTACTGTACAATTCTGCTCAGGTACTCTGCCTCCAGGAGGTGCTGAGCGTCCTTTCTGATGGGAATATGGTGACTGGGCTGGGCCATGGGGGCACATGCTGTGCTCCCAGATTGATGAGGGGGTCAATGGCAGAAGAGTTTGGGGTGCTGATCTGTCTGCTCACAGAGCAGTGAGCTCTTTGTTGGCCTCCTGAGGGCTTTAGGTCATGTTCAGATCATGAGTGCCACTGCACTAAACACAGTGGCAGCACTAAGGGGCACTCCACCCCCAAGGCCTACAGGGAGAGAGGCATTATCAGGAGGAATGGGCCAGCTGACAGAACCCACACACCAATGACTTCATGGATGCCAGTCAATCCGCTTTGATGCTTACCTATACCAGCCAGGCACAGCAAACACTAGCCATGAGCTCTCAAGTACCCAGGTGACAGGACAGCTTTCGGATCTTGGCACTGTGGGCACATCTGTGCCCTCACCAATGCTCCATGATAATTAATCTCACTAGTAGGAAGCCGGGAGGTGGTGGTGCACACCTTAAATCCCAGGTTTCAGGAGGCAGAGGCAGGTCAATTTTTGAGTTGGAGACCAGCCTGGTCTATAGAGTGAGTACCAGGATAGCTAGGGTTACACAGAAAAACCCTGACTCCGAAAACAAACAAACATCCCACTAGTAGCCAGGCTGCCCAAATTCTATGGAGTGAGGCGAAGAGGAAGGCAACCCACCCTAGGACAGGGGATGTCAGTTGCTTCTGGGTGGCCTAATCTAATGTTTAGGCATCAAATATCTAAAACAGTAGCAGAAAGAGGTATGTGGGAACTGCCCTAGACTCCTCACCTTAAGTGGAGCCCCTATCAGCCCAGGAATGAGCAAGAGCGTTGCTTTTGAAGCTTCTACCTCAGGGTAGGGGAGTGTCCCTGCCTGTCCTACACGCGAGGCTCAAGCCCTGCTTGACTCTCTTTTAGCACCACGGACCCCATTTCTACAATACTCACCCTTTCGGAGCTCTGAGTCCTAACTTGTGCCTTGGCTGGCGCTCTCCAGTGGAAAGGCTGTGCCTGGCACCTTTGCTGCTGTTCCCTGGGACAGTCAGAAGATCCATGAGGACAGCAGGATTCAGCAAGTCATGGTGAGACTCTCAGAAGCCCCGTGAGAGGACTTGTGCCTTGTTCCACGTCATAGGCAAATGGGAAGAAAACACAGACCATGCTTGGGAGCTCTGGCTCTTGGTCAGGGCTCCTGTCACACTGTACTAGGCCTGAGACCCAGAGAAAAATGTCCCAGAGCAGATTGAGGACCTGGGCCAAACAAAAAGAAGTGTCTTGACTTATGTCCATGGAGCTTTAATGTGTTGGTGACCATGGCTTCTGAGAAGTTGCACCTAACACCCTGTAAACCATGATGGAGGTCCCATGCCCCCAGTGTTCAGCGTGAAAACTTCCCGCCACCCAGCAGCTCACTGCGACTGTATAGTGAACACAGCCTGACAGAGGGGTTTATTTGTTGTGATTTTTTGGGCGGAACAGCAAACAAAGATCTTTCTGACAAAAACTCCTCTAGGCCCCACTACACAGATCTGCTGTGACTGAAGGGGACCTGGCAAGCAAGGTTCCCTAGTGTCCCATGAAGCCCAGTGTGAAAAGCATGTACAACCATGAGCAGGGGTGAGATGAGAGACTGCAAGGCTGAGTCACTCATGGGGCCTTGGTTTCCCCATTCATATAGTGAATCTGCTGGACAGGGTTTTCTGGCATCAGAGCGGCTGCTCAGCTGGAGAGACTGCAACTCTATGGTTATAAATGCCTAATCCTGAAGGCTCCCGCTCAGCTTCTAACATTCCACTGCCGAGCTTTAGAAGTCTGGGACTGCCTGTATCTAGCCTGTGCTGGCGCAGCATACTGGGGCCCAGGCTGTGGAAAGCAGAATTCATTAAGTCAACGTGATGCCCAGGGGCAGCAAGTTCCCTGGAGAGGGCATGCCCCATGCAGGATGGAGGAGGTGGGGGTGGGGGCTGGGTGGACCTGGATCAGCAGCCACTCAGTGGGCAGAGCTGGGAGAGGGACCCAGGTCTCCTGACTCCTGCTCTATCTTTAGATCTCCATAGCAACCGTCGCCAGGGCACCGAGCTGAAGGCACGGGCTATGTGGCTGCCTGCAGGAGGGAGGGGCATTTGCCTCTATTCCTCTTCTTTTGTGGGGAAAGGACTCTGGACTGGCTTGCCAAGCCAGGAAAGAGAGACTGAGCATGAAGCTGATCACGGCAGGACAGACTTGGCACTGAGACAGAGATGGTCCAGTGCCTTGTTCTGAGAACACGGTCAGGTCATTGACCAAGGCATGCGTTCAATCCACGGAAGGTACAGAAGTTAAGATTCTCCAAAGAGCTCTGAGCTTTCCCCGAAGTCATTCTCTTAACACCGACTCTGGGCCCTCTGGAAGGACGAGAGAGGCTCCTCACCCCTGATTCCTTGCAATGCCCACTTTCCTGAGCTCAGCAGGACTCCATTCGTTTGACTTCCTTGGAGCAGTCTTCCCTGGCTTCCAGGCCCGCTGCTGGCCTCCCTCCACACACCAGGATGCCAGGAGGGAAGGACAAACCTTATGAAGCAGACAGGAAAGGAAGTTCCAAGGGTGACGACATTGTCCAAGGTCTCTGGGCAAGTCAGCAGCAGGGTCTGGCCTGGACTCCATGTCTTCTGATTCTAGTCTGGGCTCCTTCCTGTGCCCCTGTACAAGGTCTGTCCCTGGCTAGGGCTAGAAGAGGAAGTAGGAGTCCTCAGTCAGGCCGGCAGACTGCAAACATCTAGCCATGTCCTCAGTAAATGCCGATGAGCCACAGACTAACGTAAATGGCTTTCTCCGGCAGCAGGCTACTAGCTCATCAACCAGCTCTTGGCCCAGGCGGCCAAAGTGGGTCTTCTCACGGTAGCTCCAGGGAAGCTGCTCTGGGGAGTCCTCCTGGGAAGACAAGAAAGAGCAATCGTGACTCCTGGGGTTGCTGGTGTTCACTGGCCAGCTTTCTTCTGCCATTGTGGGAAATGGTAGAGAACCTTTCACCAAAAGTTCCTAGTTCCTGGGTTAGGGGGCCAGGATGGAGAGGGCCCTGGAGAGGGAGTCCTGACGACTGCCATGCTGAGTTACTAGCCTCTGAGCTATGAGACAAAGGCCTGGGCTACGGAGAGCCACAGTCCTGCCAGTCAGAGTAAGAACACAGCCCTATGGAGGCCGGAGGAGCGGGGGCTCCTAGTGTCCCATGTGATTCCAAACCTGGTAGCCTCAACCCCAAGGAGTCTGGGTGATTTCCAGGTCCTGTAGTGCTGTCAAGGGACACTCTCTGACGCCCTGGGTCTTCCTACACTCCTTCACTCTCCCTACCTGGTAGAACCCTGAGAGCAGAGCCCACAGGCAGGCCTTACCAGCCTCATCTCTCCTCCCCACTTCCTGACTCCCCTAACCACTGTGTTCCACTGGCCCTACCCAGATTGTGCACCCCCAAGACACACTGAGCCTGGCTACTCCTCAGCTGTGGTAGAGCCCCTTAAACGAAGATAGAGAGGTAGGTGCTGTGATGGCAGAAGCAGGGCTGCGGCAACAGAAACAATAGGAGCACCGGAGGCGCTGAGCCTGCAGGGGGAACTTCCACCTTAGCAGACCCAGGGAGGGTGAGCAGACATTGGGAAAGGAAGGGGAACAGCACACCTGGCAGGGGACAGCAGGCACAGCTGCCAGAAAAGCACAGGACCATTGTACATGCAAGCTCGAACAGTAGCACCAGGACACTACAGCATTAGGGATAGCAGGCCAAGAGATGGAGATGTCCAGGCCAATGGGCCACTGGGCCAGTGAAGAGCCAAGGCAGTGCAGAATGAAGGACAGGCTGGCAGGAAGTGGCAGGAGTCGGGAGGCCGGAAGATGCTGTTGCCAGACTCATGCAGGGAAGGAGGCAACCCGGATCAAGTGTATGTGGGTGAGCAGAGCTACCACGGTCACCCCTTACTCCTGTTATACGGAGCCGACCCATTTCCCTGCCCAACCTTCAGCATCATCAGAGCCCAGCAGAGCCAAAAGTGAGCTTTAACATAACTCCCCAGTCCAGGCTCAAATGCTACCTCTTTTCCTGCAACATTCCTGACTTCACTTGACCTCCCTGATGGCCAGCAGTGACAAACATCCTATCAGCATGTGTGTGTACTATACTGATGGATACTAAGAGAATGGCCTCTGTGCAGGACCCACTGGGCTGGTACCCAGCTCTCTGTTGCTGTTATCTTGTAACTTCGGGTCCTACATCTGTAAAGGTGACAGGATGGCAGTACAAGCCTCACGAGCCTGAAGTGCTGAGTGGTTTGCAGTTTCTGTTAACTCACTAAAGCTGGAGTCATCTGAGAAGGATCCTCAGGTGAGTAAATGCCTCAAGATCAGACCAACCTATTGGCAAGCCTGTGGAGCACATTCTCTCTTTCTCTGTTTCTTTCTTTCTTTCTTTCTTTCTTTCTTTCTTTCTTTCTTTCTTTCTTTCTTTCCTTCCTTCCTTCCTTCCTTCCTTTCTTTTTTAATGAGACAGGGTCTCCCTGTGTATAGCCTTGGCTGGCCTAGAACTCACTATGTAGACTAGGCTGACTTCTAACTCATAGAGCTCTGCCTGCTTCAGCCTCTCTCGGGCTGGGATTAAGGTGTGTGCTAGCACATCAGCTCATTTTCTTAACTGAGGGATGTGGAAGGAGCCAGCCCACTGTGGGTGGTGCCATCCCTGAGCAGGACCTTGGAGTATATAAGAAAGTAAACTGAACAATCCAGGAAGAAGCAATCCGTCATGGTCTCTGCTTCAGTTCCTGCCTTCGGGTTCGAGTTTGCCCTGACTTCCGATCCAGATGGACTACAGCTGAAGGCTGAAGCAATCCCTTTCTTTCCCAAGCTGCTCCTGGTCAAGGTCTTTATCAGCAACAGAAGACAACTAAGACACCAGGCATGACTAGCTGTCCCTGTAGACAAGTGAGCGTCTCAAGGACAGGATGTATGTCACCTTGGCATCTCTCATTTGGTGGAGGACAGAGGGAGGAGGCCTATAGAGCAGCCAGGTGAGTTTGCCAGTGCTGTGTTCTGTTTCCCTTCCCGGCCTGCACTTTTGTAGGTCTGCTGTGCCGTTGGCCTGTGGCCTTCCCTCATCCCCTCAGCTGCACACCAGCCTCCTGTTTCACGCCCTGTGTCGTAGGACACTTCCTGCAGCTGTTAATGTTCACGAAACAGACCTTCCCGTGTGCACGGCAGAGAGCTTTCCACCTGTGGACAGGTCTGAAGATCACGGCTCTACAAAGCTCTGCAGGGAAGAGCAATCCAGTTTTCTGGTCCCAGTCAGAACACTGAGGATCATATAAACTGCCAGAGATTTTCCAGAAATGTCTCCAAAAGGAAACTGAGGGGGGAGTATCTGCACACAGGACTGTATGACTGACACTCAAACATAAGGAGATGGGGGTGGGGCAGCACATGGAACCCCAGCCTAGGGAGTACAGGAAGAAGAAACCCAGACCCTCCAGAAAGCAGACAGACAATGGTGATGGAAGGCCTGGCTTGAGATAAGGCATGCTACAGCAGGAGTTGGGAGGATGGGGACACAGGAAGCAGGACATAGGTGGCTTTCAGCTAGAAAACCTACAGCTTGCCGAGAGTAGTTGTTCTCCACTGTGTGGAGGACGATGGAGGTGGTGGGGATCTTACTGAGGGCACTGCCCAGGCAGTCTTCATGGAGCCCCGACTCTGGCCTGGCCTCACACTGAGCACCATGGGGGAGGGTGGAGTATGTGAGTACATTCTTAGCCTTGAACACCTGAACAGGGCTGCTGCTGCCTTGACTCCACACTCAGGCCCCAGCCCCAAGTGACTCCAGGAGGTGGGTGGGGCACAGCTGATGACAATAGCTACAAACTGAAGCTCAGGAGTGTGAAGCATGGGGCCCAGGCCTGGCCCCACATCTGAAGCATGTCCCTTGGCCCAGCACTTCCATGAGCTTGCTTCCTCCTCTGTATGACAGACTTGGTAATGTCTGCCTTCCACACAGAGCACCTGGGACTGTTAATATAGCACAGCACACAGAGGCTACACCCAACCCTCAGGACAGCACAGAGGAAATGCAGCTTCTTAGTGGAGGAAGTCCTCACCCTTGGCTCACCTGACTGAGGACGAAGAAGGTTCGCACGTTCCAGAACCTGGCCTGTTCCTGGAGGAAGGTCTTCAGGTAGATGCTCTCGAAGGTCTTGAAGCAGCCAACCAAGGTGACAAAGGTCTCATCATCTGCATTGTCTGTGATGTTATGCAGGATAGGTACCATAGGGGCCAGGCCTGTGCCCGCTGCCAGCATGAGGAGTTCACCATACTAGAGAGAATGGACAGCACACAGATGTGGGAGTCGCATCCACTGCCCATCCGTGGGTCTTCTCTTGGCTAAGCTGGGCAACAATGTCTTTCTCAAGTGTCCCACCCATCTCTGCCATGCTTTACCCTAGTGCAGGAAGCCACCTGGTTTGTGAGCAAAACACAGGTTATGGGATTCTGAAGCTCCTATATTGTAGCCCAGCCTGAAAGGGGCTTGGCTGCCTTTTAGCATTTCCCGAGAGGGCTCTGCTTACATATTTGTGCTAACAAGGACCTCACTACCTACCAAAGCCTTTCCCCTCCTGATTCCATCCCTGCCTGCTCTCTGCACTGCCTCCTCTGACCTGGGGAGCTCTACAAAGGTCCTAGGGCCCCAGTCTAGAACCCTGAGCCTCTCTTCTCTGAACTAAATGGAGTGATTTATGCATGTGCCTAGCATGATACTGTAAGGTAAGTCCCTGCTCAAGAGACCTAGTATATCAACCCTCCTTGATGGGCCCATACCCTGTTTCTAGGTTTCTTAGAAAAGAAAGGACAGACCTTTTCAAAGTCAGTTTCTTTCTTTTTCGTTTGTTTTGTTTTGCTTGTTTGTTTTTTTAATATTTTTTATTTCATTTGCATTGGTATTTTGCCTACATGTATGTCTGTGTGAGAGTATCAGATCTCAGGATTACAGACAGCTGTAAACTGCCATGTGGGTGATAGGAATTGAACCTGGGTCCTCTGGAAGAGCAGCCAGTGCTCTTAACCGCTGAGCCACTTCTCTGGCCCCTGTTTTTTTAAGACAGGTTTTTCTGTGTAGCCTTGACTGTCCTGGAACTCACTCAGTAGACCAGGCTGGCCTCAAGTTCAAGAGTTCCGCCTGCCTCTGCCTCTGCTGGAATTAAAGGTGTGTGCCACCACTGACTCAAAGTCAGTTTCTTAAAGGTTAATGTCTGACCCACACAGAGAAATATTCACCTCTTTCATTCTAGAGATTAGACTTGCATGTGTAAATCTCAGCCATGTGACCTTGGCAAGCTATTTTCCTACTCTGAGTCTCAATTTCTTCTCTGGTGGAAAACAATAATGAGAACATTTTCCTAAAATAGCTCCTACCTCAGAACAACCATGAAGACCAGACGAGGTATGGAGTTGAAGTTTAATCGTTTCAGTTCTCCCCCTTATTAAGCCTGAGATCCTGGGCCGGATCACCTTGTCCTGGAACCGTGGTCCCGCCAGCGTCCAGGTCTTTGACCTGCCTCACCCCTCCTTTTCTCTCATCCTTTCTCAGGCTGTGTTCTAGGAAGCCTTCCCCGAGCAGGGCTAGGGCGGGGCTCTTCCTTTCCTGTCCCCCTAGTACCTTGTACCTCCCTCACATAACACTGGTAAATACTACCTCTCCTCCTGGACAGACACTGGTGTCTGCCTGTGTCATGAAGGCACAGACATTTGTATGGTTGATGCAACAAGACAGCTATAGAGCAGGACTGGCAAGGGGCTGGGTACCTGAGTCTTCTCAGGAAGCAAAGCAGGCCCTGACAAAGCTTCAGTGTCCAATCTCAACAAGAGACACTGCCCCGGCCCCTCTGCTACTGGACATGGGTGAGAAACAAAAGGCTCTGATGTCCCCAAGAAGCAGGTCACAGGCACTGGGAGGCTCCCTCAAGGGAAAGGTGGTCTGAGGGCTGTTTGCTCCAAGCTAGGAAAAGAAACAATACCCACACCTGCTCTCAAGGTTCTGGGGGACACAATGCAGGGCCAACCATGGATAATACCAGAACACTGCTGTAGAGTGATAACACACACACACCTTCAGGTGTAAGATGGGGGGAGATTAACCTGTGAGCTGCTGTGAGGGCTGAGTGAGCCACCACACGGCATGGGTTAGAGCCAGAGCCTGCACAGAGGATGAGTTACAGATGGGTTTGGCAGTATGCATAAGGATATGTGTTTCCTGTGACTGTGGGGGTGGAGCCCAGGCCCTACAAGTGCTAGGCAAGCAGTCTACACTGAGCTACATCCAGTCCTGACAGGGCTGCTATCATGATGCTCATACACACGTGTGCGTGTACGTGTTTGTAGATATGCCATGTGTGGGGGAGGGTTTGGAAGTGAGGACGTGAGGCTGGCATCTTAGGGAGATGCCAGGTGCATTCTTTCTGTCTGTCTCTGATTATTTTTTAGAGAACATGTTTTGCATTTATAATTAGAGTAAAATACAATAAAAGCTATTTTTAAATTAAACAAAAAGAATGGCAAGGCAAGCATGATTCATTATTTTCCACTTGTTTTGGTTTTGCTTTGTTTTCCTAATTATAAAGGTAATAGGTGTTCATTCCAGATAATTTGGAAAGTATAATGAAGAAAATGAAAATTGTCCATAATTCTCCCACCCAAACTTGTTAAAATTTCATACATTTTCCATATACGTTTTTTCCTGTGCATTTTAAGTTAGTTTCCCTATTGGGTGTATATATTGTTTTGTGCCTAGTACTTGTTACTTGCTCTTATAGCATAAGCATAGAGCATCATTAAAAACATAACTTCGAAATCTAGGAGAATGTTCTATCAAGTACCTGCTCCCTTTGTTGGATACTCAGTTGCCTCTAGTCTTCTGTTATTATAAATAAAAATGTCACTAGCACATGAACAAGAAGCAGAGTTTGATTTTTTTCTCTCTTTGTAATAGACTTCCAGAAATGGAATTAGTGGGTCAAAGGGTTCTCAAGACTCCTGATACATACTACTGGACTTCTTCCAGGCATGAGACAGCCACAGAGAAATTACCAGTTCTTTCTGGGAAAGCTGGACAAAGATCCAAGCATGCTGTGGAGATGAGGGCAAGGGATTTCCAATCTAGAAGTACTCAGCTCTCAGCAGTGGGTGTGGGCTGCTTCAGCCTCCTGAGAAGAAGATGCAACTGGACAGTAACGAGAGTCAGAGGGCATTGGGGTCCTGAACCTCAGGTACTCAGGGTTGATTTTCTGAGGCACAGGCAGCCAGCAACAGTTTTGGAGTAAAGTGGACAGTTTTGTTTATTATGCCTATCTGTCCCCTCCCACGTCAAAGTCCCAAATCACCCTGGGCATTGGGTTTAACCATTGGAAGAACAGTGCAGTGTGTGTCTATAGCCTGGAACTTGGAGGGAACTCATGGACTGAAGGACTGACCTTGTTTGGCTCATATAAGAAGCTTCCAAAAGGTCCTCTCCAGAAAGCTGTGTCTCCTGTTCTCCAGGACTCCATGTACCGGGACATCAGCCCGGTCTGATAGCACTTGAAGCAAACACAGGGAGCAGTCAGTGGGTGGCATGTTCTGCTGTGCAAACCTCCCTATCCAACACTTGGAATTCCTTCTGAATGAGCAGCGTCTCCTGAGGGACTCTCGGCTTGCCTTCCTCTGCACCTAGCGTGTTGGAGCTATCACCCACACTGGCACCCCCTACACAAGGTGGATGGTAAGGCTAAGATGAGCCTCCAACGGACCCACCAACTTCAAGGTCTCACACCCAAATGCCGGAGAAGACCATGAAGAGAATGCAGCTCAATAAAGAACTGGGTGATGACTAAAGGCAACTAGCAGTCAAAAAGATAGCAGTCTGCCAAGGGACGTTCCTTCTAACAGGGAAGCTACTTTGCAGGCGCTAGTCTGTAGTTTGTGGGGTAGATGTTGCCAAATCTTAGGAGTCTTCCAAGAGATGCAGGAGATTTGTGTTCTTACTGAAACCCCTTCCCCCACCCCCACTTCTGAAATCTCAGCAATAAACTCAGAATTCTGCAATCCCAGGCAGGTTAAACCAAGTACATTTTTACACTGTTTCCAGCTCATTCTTTACCACTTCCTGGTGGGATGACTGCTATGTAAGTGAGCCATCTACCCTGCCTATCTGCTCTGTTCTGAGCACCGTGCTGGGGCAGCAGGGCACACAGTTAGACCTGAAACACCATGAAGACACCCAGTGCCTGAACCATGAATAAACACTCCAGTCAATCCATTTATCCAGTCAGGCCTCTCTGAAAGGGCTCAAAGTACAGAAAGGATATGTATACACATCTCAGACATAAACAAGGCAGATACTGCCTCAAACTCCATGAAGAGCCCATGGAGCAAGATAAGGCTGGCTTCCTTGGAGGTGGAGCACTTGAGCTTGGGCAAACTGAATTCCCAGGAGTTGGGGAGACATGCAAAGAGAACTCGGAATTTGCAGCCACATGGTCAATAATATAGCGTCCAGGTCTTCTCTTGGGAAGATCAGATGGCCATGCAGTGCTAGACAAAACTGGAAGGGTAGTTGGGATGTCCCCAGGCTTGAAGGAGAGACTAGGTTTTGGTGGCCAGACGTGCCTTTGGCAACCTCAGCTATCTCTGTCACCAGCTGTGGGTGACACCAGCTACACAAGGCCCAGGAAGTCCCTGCTCACCTGGGAGAGGCCTGGGAGGGAGGGTTTTTACTGGAAGCCGTGTGGAAACACATTTTGGTTTCTGAGCCCAATTTGGGAAAAGAAAAATCCCAACTATGGGGGCTAGAGAGATGGTTCAGCAGTTAAGAGCACTGGCTGCGCGCTGGCCCTCTGGACTCTCCTTGCAGTGACGGCCGGAGTGCGCAGTCTGAGCTGTGGCAGCGGGAGTCATGGCTGGACAAGCTTCCAAAAAGTTTCTACCACTCTTGGACAGAGTATTGGTTTAAAGGAGTGCCGCCGAAACTGTGACCAAATGTGGCATCATGCTTCCAGAAAAGTCTCAAGGGAAAGTATTGCACAAAACAGTAGTGGCTGTGGGATCAGGCTCGAAAGGAAAGGGTGGGGAGATTCAGCCGGTCAGCGTGGAAGTTGGGGACAAAGTTCTTCTCCCAGAATATGGAGGCACCAAAGTAGTTCTAGATGGCAAGGATTATTTCTTATTTAGAGATGGTGACATTCTTGGAAAATATACGGACTGAAATCACTGTTGAAATGGTGTCGCATGAAGCTGCCCATTCCACTGACATTCTGAACTATTCATCATGTAAATAATTCCCATGCCTCCCTTTTATAATAAACTGATGATGCCTAAACAACAACAACAACAAATACAAAAAGAGCACCAGCTGCTCTTCCAGAGGATCTGGGTTCAATTTCTAGCACCCACATGGTGCTCACTAACTCCAGTTCTAGGGAACCAGATACTCTGAGACATATGCGCAGACAAAACATACAAACACATAAAACAAAGAAAAAAAAAGAATCCCATCTTTGGCCTTAAATGCCCCATGACACGACAACGCCAAAGAAAGAGTACCACGTACAGCCTGGCGTGGAGTGAACGGTCATCAGAACTACCCCAGCCTTTGTCCTACCACCCGAGAGGCTATTCAGCTTCAGTTTCTTCATCGCTAAAAGTGGGAATAATATGGTCTTCTTGAGGTCATGAGTTGAAATGAGAAAATGAGAACAGAGTTACAAGCAGTGTAATCAGCACCCAGCAGGTGCCTGAAAAAGAAGCCCTCCTTCATTTCCTCGTGGGAATGCCTTCCCAATTTGCAAAGACATTCCAGCTCTTCCCAGCCAGTGGCTTAGGGATAATGAGAAACCTCTTGGAAGGAGGAACTCAGCCTCGCAGCTGGGAGGGATCCAGCTGCTCTGGAGGACTGTCTCCAGGCTTATCCTCTCAGCAGAAGCACCCTAGACAAGCAGCGCAGGGAAACAGGCCATTTGGAGAGGATTTGTGGAATCTCCCAGACAAACAGTAGTGTGCAGAAGGGAGCTCATCCAGGCTTATGTGGGAAGGAATAAACATCCAGGCTCTGCAAGCAGGCAGGGAAGCAGGAGCCCAGGGCGGCCCTAGACCTCAGAGCCCATGATACTCCTTCCTCCACCTTGGTCCTCTTGGGCCTCAGCCTGCTGACCAGTGAACTAGGATAATGGCACAATCTTGCAAGGAGCCTTGGATACGAAAGCTGTTCTTCAATACTGATACTCCCTAGGATTCCACGAGGGATATTCTCCCACTCACAGGCGTGTCAGACCCGTGGCCTGTGTGGCCACAAGCAGATAAGGAGAGCTATCAAAGTGGTCTGATGCAAAATCGAAAACTTATTTTTGTTTTGGGGTTTGTTTTTTTGTTGATCCAATTGTTTCGGAGCATGGACTTTATAGCATGGTGTTACAAGGTTGGACATACCTAGTAGAGCTACAATAGTTTGGAGCCCACTGAGCAACACTTGCTGGAAGTCAAATGCCAGAGGGTTAGTGGGTCCATGAAAAGCAATCTACTTAGTTTCTTCACTCTAGGCATCCATGACTGTAATTTATTGCTAAGATCCTGGGTCTCCAGGGCATTTTGTATCCAAGCCATTCTATTCATCTCTGACCATTCTTCTACCAGCCCAGCTGCCCCACAGGCATCCTCTTCTCCCACCACTTGGGCTGAATATAGTCCCCAAAAGACCTGTTTCCTGTCACCCTTCCCTATGTCTGGTCAATTCACATTCCTCCTTCGAGGCCCACCTCCCAGAGAGAGGATGTCAGGTTGGTTCTGTCTGACGGGTCTTGGTGCCCAGTTTTCTCTTCTGGCATCCTGTCCCTTCTATGCCTCGATGAACACTTTTCCCAATTCATGTATCTTCTGCTATGCTGCTCCCAGCTCTCAGAGCTCTCTTCCTTTATTTCTCTTGTTTCTCAGCCTTCAAGCACATAGTATCTACCAGGAAGCTGGGCCTGAGTTCCTGAGTTGGGCTGGTCCTCCCCTGTCATGACTAGCATCGTGCTGCACTGAGTTGATCCTGGGCTTGGTCCATCCACGTCAGGCTGGACCCCTGAGGAAGCACAGAGGTGCAGGAACTTGCTTCCACTTCATCTCAGGTCAGCTCCTCTTCCATCAGTTCATAAAAGGTGGTAAGGCAAAGCTTTCCTAAAATTCCCCCATAGCATGCCCTCTGTAATAGCCAGCAGCACCCTCCTTAGAAAAGGAGAGGGAAGAGCCCCCCAAACTATTTCTCTTTCAAGCCAGCCTACTCTCATGCCAACTAATAGACAAGAACTCCTCCACCCCAATTAAGCTAGAGGGGGAGGTCCAAGTTCATAGCACCTTACAGAATCTTCAACAAGAATCAACTCACCTTGATTAAAACATCAAAGTATCCTTCCGCAGTGACAGGGCTGATGGGAGTATAGGCTCTCTGGATTTCTAAGCCATCTGCTATACCTCTGGGAAGAAGAAGAACACAGTAGGTAGTTACTCGTTTAACAGACTCTTATCACGCATCTCGGCTGCCAGGTTAGTGGACATAAAAATGGGTTCCAGTCATCCCCAGGGGTCCTCACCAAGGGACAGGTAAGGAACAGCAGAAGGAAGGGCACTGAGCTCACCACTACCCATGCTACTTGTGAGACCTGTGCAGGCCACTTAATATCTCAGTGGTATCTCCTGAAAAGTATGGGTAGCCATTTAGGTTCTGGTTGCGTGACTTTACTGGAATCAGACAGAATAGTATGTCAAAAAGTACAGATAACAACAACAAAAAAGAAGTACACTGATGTTATGAGCAGTTTGTGGGGGCATTACTGTGGTTTCTGACTTCTTCACTACAAAGTAACACAGGTCAAAGCAACTGCTAAGATTTATGAAACATTACCATAGACCGGCAAGCATCAGAACTGGAAGAGTCCTCAAAGGAGCTTGAAGTTGAAGCCCGGCCAATGTATGGCTGGTCTTTACAATGTTACCCACAATGGGGATGGACAGCAATCATGAGTTGTGATAATAGCTACGAGGTATGAATGTCTATTGTGTACTAGGCATGTTTTATGCATAATTTTATTGAAAAGAACAACCGAGGAGTTGGAGAAATGACTCAGAGGTTAAGAGCACTCGCTGCTCTTGCAGAGGATCTGTTTGGTTCTTAGCACCTATACTGGTGGCTCACAACTGCCAGTAATGCTAGTTTAGGGGAGCTGATACCTTCTTCTGACGTCCATGGACACTGCACACATGATACACAAGCATACACACTCAAGCACACATGTATACATATAAAATAAAAACACGTCTTTTTAAAAAAATCCAGAGTCAGGTGTGGTGGTGCATACCTTTAATCTCAACACTCAGGAGGCAGAGGCAGGTGGATCTCTGTGAATTCAAGGCCAGCCTGATCTACAGAACAAGATCCACGACTGCCAAGGCTACAAAGAGAAACCCTGTCTTGAAAAACAAAAGCAAAACCAACCAAACAAAACAACAACAAAAACAAACCCAAATGCAGACTGCAATGCTAAGAGAAGGGAAGCCAGTTGCACAGCCGGCGTTTGACTGTGGCTCCCACTCCAAGTCTGATCCTATTCCTCAAAGTATCTCAGGCAGTTGAGTGTGCTGCTACACCCTGTAGCCCCAGCACTTGGGAGGCTGAGGCAGAAAAAAAGCACGAGTTTGAGGCTGGCCTGGAATACATAATGACCTTGAGAAAACAAACAAACAAAAAAGCAGAACCAAAAACCAAACAATAACAAATTCTGACAACCTACTTCCTAGGAGCACCAAAACACTCTAGACTTACTGCATGCAAAAAAACTCTGTTCTTGTGTCTACAAAGATTTAAAGGCCCTGTCCAAGTGCATCACAGGCAGGGGCTAGACAGAATGTAAGATATGTTTTGAAAAATATGCAAGAGAGGAACAGAACATGGCTCAGATGTGAAATGCAGGACACCACCTACCGCAGCAGATAAAGCCTGATGTGTCTCAGAGAGAGAGAGAGAGAGCACTGTCATCCGTGAACCCAGAAGTCTGCTGGAGTCAGGTACAGAAGCAGGTGCAGACCCCTGACAGGTGGGGCCAAGGAGGGAAGTAACTTCAGGCAGAGGGAACAGCCTGGGCTGGACAAACTCGGGCAACTCAGGAACTGGTAGTAGATTTTGAGGCTAAGACACAGGCATAGGTAGAGTAGGGAAGGGAGGACCTGGCAGAAAGGCAGGGCCTGGCAGGAAAGGAGGCTGGGTAGCTATGGATTAGAATGTCATTACAGAAGCAATGAGGAGCACCAGAATGTGTCTTAATGAGTGACATGATCAGATATATTAGGAATGTTACTGGGTGGTAGAGAGGATGGAGGGGAGTCAGCCTAGAAGCTGGGTACCCTGGCCACTCCAATTCATGGATGGAGAGTTGCATAGCATTATAACCTACATTGTGGCTTCTCCTGCCAGATGGAACACTGAACTTCAAGGATTGCCAGCCAGGCCACAGACCAGAGAAGCTGGACACAAATACCAGGGGGCCAGTATGAGGTAAAAGGGCCAGTCTGACCAGTAGTAAGCTTTCTTTTTTCTTTTTTTGGTTTTACGGACAGGGTTTCTCTGTATTGTTTTGGAGGCTGTCGGTCCAGCCCAGCCTCGAACTCACAGAGATTCGCCTGCCTCTGCCTCCCGAGTGCTGGGATTAAAGGCGTGCGCCACCACCGTCCGGCCTATTTTTTTTTAAAGTTATTTATTTATTATGAATACAATATCCTGCCTCCATATATGTCTGCACGCCAGAAGAGGGCACCAGATCTCATTATGGATGGTTGTGAGGCACCATGTGGTTGCTGGGAATTGAACTCAGGACCTCTGGAAGACCAGTCGGTGCTCTTAACCTCTGAGCCATCTCTCCAGCACATAAGCTCTCTTTCTAGTTACCTCCTACCTTGCCTTTTGGCCATGCCTTGTTTGGCTTTTTGTTTGTTTTGTTAGTTTGTTTGTTGGCTCCTTCTCATCTTGAAAACCCCACAAGCTCTGGCATTCTTGCCGTTCAGGTATATGTCCTTTTTCCTTCCCACATATGCATATGCTCCTGAATACTGTCTGGGTGTGTGATGACATCTCCCAGATGCATGTTTGCAGTACTGGTCTCTCTGCTGAGCCTCATACCCACAACTGACTAAGAGCTGCATCTCCCTGGCGAGATGGGGCTGGATCAGGCTGGAGACCCACAGCAGTTCAGAAGGAAGTTCAGAGGAGAGGACACTAATGGAGTTCAGAAACCAAGCTCTCTGGGCTGGAATCTGGGTTCCATTACGTGGTGGTGGTGTTGACACTGGGAAACTTTTTTGTTTGTTTGCTTGCTTTTTCTTTTATTATTATTACGGTTTTGAGACAAGATATCATATAGCCCAGGATAGACTCAAACTTGAGATGTAGCTGAAGCTGACCTTAAACTCTTAATTCTCCTGCCTCTGCCTCCAATATGTTCAAGCTCTTTACTCTATAATGTCCTTTCTATCATCCAATACTAATTACACTGGCTCCAAAGACAGTCTGCTTGCTTTCAAATCCTGATCCAATACTGCCTGTGTGACCTTGAGCAAGTTCCTGAACCTTGCTGATTTCAGTGTCCTCTGGGGATGATAATGGCACCTACCAGCCAGGATTTTGTGAAGGTTTTTTTTTTGTTTTGTTTTGTTTTTTACGAGACAGGGTTTCTCTGTATTGTTTTAGAGGCTATCGGTCCAGCACAGCCTCAAACTCACAGAGTTCAGCCTGCCTCTACCTCTCGAGTGCTGGGATTAAAGGCATGCGCCACCACCACCCGGCTGATTTTGTGAAGGTTAAATGAGTTCGTGAATGTGAACAGACAGAACTGTGCCTTGGCTAGGAAGACCTGTGCCTTGACTAGGAAGACCTGTGCCTTGGCTAGGAAGACCTGTGCCTTGACTAGGAAGACCTGTGCCTTGACTAGGAAGACCTGTGCCTTGGCTAGGAAGACCTGTGCCTTGGCTAGGAAGACCTGTGCCTTGGCTAGGAAGACCTGTGCCTTGGCTAGGAAGTGCTGGTGCTATTATCTATCACAAAAACACATTACTGAGCTCCATGTCAAGCATCCTGAGTCTATATGCTCCTGCGTCTATACTGAAGATGCCAAACAAGGCAGGGCTTAAGAAATGTCAAGCAAAGCCGGGCGTTGGTGGCGCATGCCTTTAATCCCAGCACTCGGGAGGCAGAGGCAGGCGGATCTCTGTGAGTTCGAGGCCAGCCTGGTCTACCGAGTGAGTTCCAGGACAGCCTCCAAAACAATACAGAGAAACCCTGTCTCGAGGAAAAAAAAAAAAAAAAAAAGAAAGAAAGAAAGAAATGTCAAGCAAGCTGCCCCAGCTACTCAGCTGGTCAGTGGCAAAGCAGGGAAGCAGACACCGGTCCTCCCACCAGCTGACTGTACCGTAGGATGAGGTGCTGCCCAGGATGCAGACCGAGCTGACTGTTCCCCGGCAGTGTAAACCGGACATGGTAGGTGTCCTTGGTAAGTTTCTCTATGGTGCTGATGTGACAGGCCAGGAAGGTCTCTGGACTCAGCTTGGTGGAACAGCCCTGCAACAGGAAAAGATGACTTCTAGAAGTCAGGCCTGAGGGACACACATCTTTTCCCCAATGAGAGGCATCTCTTGATGTGACAGAGAGGTGGCCCTACCTTGCTTCCCCTTTATCCACAGCACACGGAGTTTACCCTGCTCGTAAGCTTTCTGTATCTCCCTACAACCCCAGGACCCAGCACAGACTCCTTAGCCTACACTCAAGGGAACAATCACAAGCTTCATTTACCTGCCACAGAACAGATGGAAGACTTCCAGTCCTCCTCCCAAGGCCACCTGTCACTGTCTACCTCAAGGTCTTCATTGTTCAAGTTGTATCCTCTACACAAACACTCACTCCAGTGTACTAAACACCTGCTCATCCTGCAGACCGTTAAAACTCAATCCAACATCCTTGTATCCCATATGAGGAAACTGAGGCCCAATGGCAGCTTATGAAAGGTCTCAGGTCTTGGATTTCGTTGGGTAGTCCTTTGAGGACAGGTTAATTGGAAGAGTCAACTGACACCAGACAGAGAATATGGCAGGCTTCCAAAGAAAACTCAGGCCCATGAGGCTAAGAGAGAGTTCTCTCTTACAGGCTTCAGAGAAAAAAAGGGAGGTTCCCAGTCATGTAGTTGATGAATAGCCTATAACACATGCAGGTAGTCATGTTCCTGAGAGGTAGGAAAAGGGAGAAAGATTCAGCCCTTTAGTTAACCTGTGTCCAAAATATGTAGCTCTCATTAGGGTGCTTGGTAAACTTCCTTTGGGGAAGTGAGAATTACAGCCGGACATCTGTGACAGACATCACAGAAATTGTGAGGACAGACAGAGATGCTGCTACAGGTGAGCATAGCCTGGTAGTCTCTAATCCAAATCTGACTGCTTATGTGTTCAAAATTAGCAGGATAGCCGGGCGGTGGTGGCGCACGCCTTTAATCCCAGCACTCGGGAGGCAGAGGCAGGCGGATCTCTGTGAGTTCGAGGCTGGGCTGGACCGATAGCCTCCAAAACAATACAGAGAAACCCTGTCTCGAAAAACCAAAAAAAAAAAAATTAGCAGGAAGCAGGGACACAAATTCATGTCCTCTGGGTCTCAGCACATTGTCCTTATCATCCCAACCGCTCCTTGTGCCTCTTGTGGGAATTCCCACTCCCTCCAGGGTCTATCTCTGTAGCCCTGGCTGTCCTGAACTTGCTATGCAGGTGGATCTGGAACTCACAGAGACCCTTCGGCCTCTGCCTCTGCCTCTGCCTCCTAAGCACTGCAATTAAAGGTATGTGCCACCACGCCTGGTTCTCTCTCTTGTATAATGTTTGCACTTGGCTTACCTGAGTAAGGTTTGGGTACAGCACCAAACTTGGGTCTTAGTAACCAGTGTCTCAGCAGTGACGGCTTGGTGTCCCAGACATTCTCCACCTCACCCTCTTCAAGCCAGGATGACCTAGTCATCATCAGTCACAGTTGCTAAGAACCCTGACAGAGCTGCCTGTGGCTAAAGAACACCAAGCTGGAGTCAGGACACTGAGATTGAGCTAGCTGCTATTTTTGGGACTGGGTCTCCTATTATGTAAAAAGAGGCCACTCATCTGGTAGCATTATAAAGTTATAGGGTAAGGTAAAATAACATAGGTGGTGCTTGGATTTTGCTTGTTTGTTTTTGTTTTAAGACAGCATCTCATGTAGCTTGAACTGACTCACTACACAACCAAGGTTGGCTCTGAATACCTGATTCTCCTGCCTCTGGCTTCCAAGGGCTGGGATTAAAAGAGCGTGCCACTACACCTAGCTTTGTATATGTATTTCATCAAATGTAAATTGCTATGGAAATGTGATCTACTATTATTATCACCTCATTGCAATTTAAAAGATAAAGCTATTAGGTTGAAATCTGCCATTTTGGAACATCACCTAATTTTCTGTTGTCACAGGTGAGTACAGCCACTAGATACTGAACATATAACTACTCATGAAATGTATGAAGTTCTTTTAGAGTTAAGAAAGGAAGAGAACATCAGTAAGCCACAGAGGAAACTGAATAAGGACAGTATCTCTTATTTATCTAGTCTGTATAATACCATATGTTAGTTTGCTCTTTTGAGGACAAGGACTGTGTCCTGCTTCACACAAATCCTCAGTGGCTTACAGGACCTGGCATATAACAGTGTGGTGCTTTGAAGGAAAATGGCTCCCAAAGAGAGTGGCACTATTAGGAGGTGTGGTCTTGTTGGAGGAAGTGCATCACTGTGGGGGTGGGCTTTGAGGTCTCTTGCTCAAGCTTCCCTCAGTGTGACTGTCAGTCAACTTCCTGTAGCTTCTCAGCTCCAGCACCACATCTGCCTGTGCACTGCCATGCTTCCCTTCATGATGACAATGGACTAAACCTCTGAAACTGTGAGCCAGCCACAGCAGTTAAATGTTTTCTTTGTAAGAGTTGCCACGGTCATGGTGTCTCTTCACAGCAATGGTAAACCCTAAGACAAACAGGTATTCGATGGATATTGAGTAAAATAATTATTAGGGTCTGTGCTAAACATTACAAATATCTGGGTCCATTTTACAGATGGGGAAACTAAGGCTTCAAGAGGTTAAGAGGCTTAGATTAAATCCACATAGCTACTAATAGGTGGGTTTCAGGTCTGGACCTTGCTCTCTGGATCTATCTGCTTCCATTATGATGACTTCTTTCTCTCCACTGTCTCGTCAAGGAAGGCTTCTTCCCACGGCAGGTGCACTGGGCAGATAGACATGGAAACTCTGGACTCCTCACCTGGACCTCGGGGGACTGCTCCCCACTCAGCAGGCTCCTGCCATTTCTGGAACCCTCACCTGGGCCTCGGGGGACTGCTCCCCACTCAGCAGGCTCCTGTCATTTCTGGAACCCTCACCTGGGCCTCGGGGGACTGCTCCCCACTCAGCAGGCTCCTGTCATTTCTGGAACCCTCACCTGGGCCTCGGGGGACTGCTCCCCACTCAGCAGGCTCCTGTCATTTCTGGAACCCTCACCTGGGCCTCGGGGGACTGCTCCCCACTCAGCAGGCTCCTGTCATTTCTGGCTCGGGCTGCCTCCCATCTTTCCAGGTCTCGGGAATAGAGGTCAAACACACAGGGTGAGCAGCCACTCCCGCAGCACTGGGAGGGCAACGGCTCCACAGGCTTCAGTTGCAGCCAAGCTTCAGCATCGTGGCCCTCCCTCTGATCCATCGTCAGCGGGGCTTGGGCAATACCGACAGAGGAGCAACTGGACTAGGCCAGGCTCTCCTTCCTCGTCAGCCTGGAGAAGGAATACATGGGGTTACGCTCTGTCCTTCTCTTTCCCTCACATTTTCCTCAAGGCCTGCCAGGCTACACGGCCAAGGATGGCTTAACCAGGGACCTGCTGTCAGACGGGACATACTTACTGCCTACAATTTGTGTGTGTGTGTGTGTGTGTGTGTGTGTGTGTGTGTGACAAATCTTTTCTTAGCAGAGAAGGGGATGTGGCTTCAGAAAACCCTTCGTACTATGCAAGAAGCTCTATGATTTCTGTGTGGTTTTGAACAAGGCTGGTGTCTTACTCTCTGCATTCTGTCCAACAACGTGGCACATGGAAAGCCCCCATGACTGGCACAGGATTAGGTGCTGGAATACAGTCCAGGTGCACAGGACACAATCCCTTCCTTGCTCAGACCTAACATGGTGTTGCATCCATTCACTCAATCCTCCTTCACAGCATTCTGTGTATCAACTCCATGGGTTTGGTGGGGGGGGGATGTTAAAATGAGACAAGTGAAAATATTTTGTTAACTGTCAACTGTTGTACAGTGTGAGGGTTAGTCATAGTGTCCTCTGCTTTATATTTGCCTTCATAGGGTTTAAATAATCCTATTGTCTCAACTATTTTGGAAATTGGTAGAGAAGTTGGCCACATCAATCAAAATTTTAAAGACATGGTTCTTTCCCATCTGGGAGGCACTGTTGGGGCCTGGCTGCCTCTCCCTACTCTTCAGGCCTTGGCTAAAAGGTCATCATCCTCCCTCAGAGACGCTTCCTGAGTGTCCTCCTCGTCATTACCAAGCACTTTATTTGTTCTAGTATGTATTCGTTTGTTAAACATACACCGTGCCAGACAACTGGTCTAGGTGCCAGGGACACAGCAGTTCTCTGTGCTCATACGACAGTCATTAAACCAAATAAAAATGAGTAGCAACGAGAGGAAAAGACCTAGAGAAAGGGACAGGAAGCAGGTACATGAGTTTGTGTCGCCACTGTCCACCTTTCTCTCCCAAATCTAAGTTCTGCACGTCCACCCGTTGCTTAGCACAATAACCACTCCCATCCCCAGAAGCGGGTGCCCAGCAAAGGGGCGGCTCCTGGCACTGGCCCTGCCTCTGGGACCCCAAGAGGGAACCAAGGAGCAGAGGAAAAGTAACTCGCTTTCGACAGAGCCACAGGGCAAGCAGTCCGGAGCCGAGCTGTCGGGACGGGTAAAGAGGTGGCGGTGCCGCTCGCACGCTCTCGGAAGCCCCAGCCAAGGAAAGCGTGGGCAGCCAGCAGTAAGGCGTGGAGAGGAACACACTTTCAGAGCCCCCTCGACGCCGGGCCCGCTAAACCCTCTCAACTCCTAATTTTATAGCGAGGGAGACCGGGACCTTTCGACCTCAAGGACGTCCCAAGTACAGGCTGGAGATCTCCGCACTCCTCTGGCCCCGCCGCAAGGTACACCTCCACTCTACCCACCTGCAAGTCCCCTCACGTGAGGTCTCAGAGACCCAAGGCAGAGAGTGCTTTGCACGTTCCACCTATAGGGATAGACACTGCCTAAGGGGCGGAGGCAAAGCAAGGATATGCTAACTGTGATTGGTTGAAGCGTCTGTCATTCGCAATTTGCGTCCAGCCCCTTTCCCTCCCGGCAGGCCCCGCACGGGGAAAGATGGCGGCGTCCAGGTAGAGGTCTTGTGGAGACCGGACCGGTATGGCGTTGGCGTCCGGACCTGCTTTGCGAGCGCTAGCTGGCTCTGGGAGGCTCGGCCTTGGGGGCTGCGGGGCCCCGAAACGCGGGGCGTACGAATGGGGCGTGCGTTCCACGCGGAAGCCCGAGCCTCGCCCTCTGGACAGGGTGTACGAGATCCCGGGTCTAGAGCCAATTACCTATGAAGGGAAGATGCACTTCGTCCCCGGGCTGGCTCAGCCGATCTTCCCGCCGTGGGATCGCGGCTGGAAAGATCCACGGTACCACCGCACGGCCCCGATCCCCGAGCAGCCTCTGTACAAGGAGCAGCCCTGCTACATATTCCACCAGCGCTGCCGACTCCTGGAGGGTGAGGCCACGGGACAAACGGGAGGAGACCCTGTTCTCTGTCCAGCACTAACCCGGCCTCTGGGCAGGGTCTCGGTTTCTTCCTCTGCAAAGTAGAACTGGAGCGACATTATTCTTCTAAAGGTTGTCAGGATCCAGTGGGATGTAAAGGGCAGTGTCGGGAGAGGGAGCAATGGAGAATTTGAGTGATTCCTCCGGGATCATCTCTCTATTTCACAGGATCGCCAGCTGTAACAGGGAAGTGATTCGCTTATATATGGCAGCTGAAGGGATTCTAGCCAGCCCGGGCCTAACAAACATGGCTCTGGAGGCCTTGTCCTGCTCTCTCATTCCTGCTGCCTTGCTGAAAACCGTTAGATTACATTCCCAGAGCTACCCCCAAATGTCTATCCCTTTATATGGCCACTTCCTCCTCCTGAGGCTGACTACCGAGGTTTGAAGTGCTGCAATCAAAAGCCCCCCTTAGTTCACATACCCAATTAAAGTTAAACACCACAGCCTAACACGGGGGTTCCTTCTCTGCTTTTATAAACGACTCTTTTCCTGTGTGCCAAGACTGTCTGCTTTCTATCCAGAAGTATTCCTTTGCCCTTCCCCCTTTTCCTTGATCCCTTCCCCTTTTCCTCGTCCTCTATCTCCTGTCTTTGTCCCTTACTTCTTGCCCTTTTGTCTCTTTGGGACAAATAAGTCTCCTTTGTGCTGAGAACTTGGTCTTGGGGATCCTGAGTTGATACTTTTCCTTTCAATAGTGAAGCCAGGTCTACAACACTAGTTTCCTAGGTCGGTGTCTTTTGTTAAAAGTCTGGGATATGTTTTCAAGGAAGGCATTTGCATCCAAAAGTCTACCTGCTTAGGGGCCTGTCACTCTTTGTGTGTGTGTGGGGGGGGGGCGTTTTCGAGACAGGGTTTCTCTGTATTGTTTTGGAGGCTGTCCTGGAACTCACTCTGTAGACCAGGCTGGCCTCGAACTCACAGAGATCCACCTGCCTCTGCCTCCCAAGTGCCGGGATTAAAGGCATGTGCCACCAATGCCTGGCTGGGGCCTGTCACTCTTAAGAACAGATCAAAGTGTCTCCAACCAAAACCAGTCTGCTTCTCAGTATCATCAGGAATTATTTTCCAGAGTTGATTATTAAGAGTACCTTTCTAGCTGGGTGTTGGTGGCACACACCTTTTAATCCCAGCACTTGGGAGGCAGAGGCAGGTGGATCCCTGTGAGTTCGAGGCCATCCTGGTCTACAAAGCTACACAGAGGAACCCTGTCTTGAAAAAACAAACAAATAAACAAAAGGAGTATCTTTTTTCATCTTCAAACTTCCGTCTTCACCCAGATCAGGGGGAGGATAGGGCAGTTCCTAAAAAGCAAAAGCAATTGAAGTATGTGGGAACAGTATTTTCCAAAGGGTAACTAGGAAATAAAGAGATCTGATAGGGCTTGGGGGCTATGAGAATCAATCATAAGTCTGGAAAAACTGATAGCTATAGATCAGCCTTCTAAAATGGCCATTCCTGTACCTACAAGCTAATTTTTCCAGCCATTAACCACTCAGAAGGTGCTGTGAAGGTTGTCACACAATATGATCACTTCAAGTGACTCTGATAATGAATGCCAAGTGTTTTAGAAGATAAGATTGCATTCATTGAGCCGGGCGGTGGTGGCGCACGCCTTTGATCCCAGCAGGCGGATCTCTGTGAATTTGAGGCCGGGATGGACCGATAGCCTCCAAAACAATACAGAGAAACCCTGTCTCGTAAAAACCAAAAAAAAAAAAAAAAAAAAAAAAGATTGCATTCATTGAACTAGTCTAAAAATGTATCTTCTGTCCTATACTTTGAAAAGTCATAGAGAGGTCTTGCCAGATTACAACAAAACCTCGGAAAATATGGGCCTTAGAAACCAATATGGGTTATGGAGAGGTTATAGACTTTAGGATAGACAGGCTCAGATTCTCCTGCTTGTGTCACCTTAAAGATAAGTGACTGGAAGCAAACTCTCCAATCTTGTCCAAGTTTCCCCTTTCATGACATAAAATCCCATGTAACTTATGGTAAGTTCATTACACAGAAGTGACATTCAGTAAATGGCAGCTCCTAATACTATATATTTTGTGTATATGCTAGAGAACCATAAAACTTGGCTCTGAGATTGCTAACAATAAACGTCATAGAGCTGGGGTCAGCTAATTAAGCAGTTCCCTGTTTTTGTAAGTAAAGTTTTACTGGAATACAACCATGTGCACATGTAAATTATTGCCCATGGTTGCACTTGTGTAACAATGGCAGAATTGAGTACCTGTGGTGAACTCAGACCTAACATGAGGTAAGTTTGGTATGCATGGGCTTTTCTAGTCAGAGTTAGGTATGGATGATTACAAGGTTTTAAGTGAAGGGCTTGTTCACTGAGCTAGTCTCACAGCTTTGATTTATCTACCTGTGGGAAGTCAGTGGGGATCTCGGCTGTCTTGAGCATGGTTTGAACCCCTCCCATGGCAGGCACTCAGTCCCATAGTCAACTCTCATCACCCTGAAGTAGATCATCATTCCTGAAGTCGAGTTGTACTCTGGACCCACTCTTTTCTTTTGATTTTGTTCCATAGATGACTCAAAACAAACTCAGCCATCTTGAGGCAGCCTTTTCTTCATGGTTCTACCTGGTTGACATGAGCATCTCTTCCTGAACTGCCTTGTCTCTTTTTTTGTTTTTGTTTGTTTGTTTGTTTTGTGATGATTGTTCCAAAGGTATGAAGCAGGCTCTCTGGCTAACTAAGACCAAGTTAATAGAAGGCCTTCCCAAGAAAGTGCTTAGTCTTGTTGATGATCCAAGGAATCACATAGAGAACCAAGAAGAACGTGTTCTGAACATCATCTCTCATGCCCGTCTCTGGCACTCCCCTGAGGACATCCCCAAGAGAGAGACCTACTGGTGAGTTTCCCCAAAATGAGATAGATTCTCAACCGAAGAATATGGAGTTGCATGTTGATTTAAGTCTCCAAATATCATTTTTTCCCCCAAGCCCAGTCATTGTGAACAGCCTCATACAGCTGTGTAAGTCCCAGATTTTCAAGCACCCTTCTCTGGCAAGGCGGATGTCTGCCGAAAACTACTCCTTAGCCACCACCTGGAATCGAGGTTAGTGATCCTGTGTTCCAGAAGGCCTTGCCTGGTTTTGTTTTTTGTTTTTTTCAGTTTGTTTGTTTGCTTAATCTCTCTGCTGCTCTCAGGCCCCCACCAGATCCCATCCCTCCTATCCTGCTCCTGCCACATACTCTTTGGGTTTAGACACACCCTTTTCGGGGTCTCTCTACACAAGGCTGGCCGCAGATTTGTGATCCTCTGGTCTGCACAACTATGCCCAGCTTCTCGTTTCTTTTTATAACTGCTTCTGAGACTTCATTCAGCCATTGACAGCTGACCATATCTGTTGAGTACCCACAGTATGCTTGGGAGTGTTTAAATGCTGAAGATAAAGAAATAAAAAAACACATTGGTCTCTGCCCTCACCATACTTGGCAACTTTCTTTCCCTTTCCGTAGTCCTGCATCCTTCCACAGCCTGTTAGCATAGCTGCTAGAGTGGTTCTTTCAACACTGCAAGGCTTTTTCTTGTGTTCCCTTGATTGAAACCCAAGGCTGTCATTTATCACAGGATACAAGGCCCTCTATAATGTGGGCTCCACCTAGTCCTAGTCTAATCACCCATCTGCTGCCCCCTTCCGACATCCCTAAGTTTGTCACTGACAGCGTTTTGGTATCCAGCTTTCCCACCTGTCTGCCTTTGCGCATGCTGTGTGCTTGGCAGCGGATGCTGGTGTCAGACAGGAGCGTCAGTCCAGGTGTTGTAAGTGATGGAACTGTGGCGCAGGGAAACCAGCTGTGGAATACTTGGAACTTGGGCTGTCTGTTTGATCAGATTCCCCTCTCCCCTCTTGATATGAACTTCTGGCAAGGACTCAGCCTGGCAGAGGTAATGGCACCACTAAGGAAATTAGTGCACCTCATTAATGGAGAGTACTTGTTGGCCCATTGTCAAGCATTACCTCTAATTAAACTGCCCCATTTTGAGCTGTCACTGGAGGAGGGATATGGAGGGAATTGAATTAGAAACCACACTAGAGTGATCTGTGGGGAGAATCTAAAACCCAGGGTTAGGAGAGGTCCAGGCACATTTGTGTGAAGAAACAGGAAATGCCTTAGGAAACTAATCTTGAGGTGCAATTACTGCAGAAGTTACCCATCTGCAGATGTAGCATCTATTTTTTACATATCTTGGGAGGCTGCACACTAATTAAATGGCAGTGCCATTGACCAAACCAATTTCTGATCTTATAGCAGTCTTAATCCATTACTTTCACACTGAGATTTTACTCTCTCTGAAACCCAGGAACCTGCTGGTGGTGCCGCTCAGAATGCTGATAACAGCCTTTCTATACACATGTTGTCAGGTGGCATGTGGCTTCCCGTGGGAAGAGTGCAGACACCATTTCCCATGTAGAATACGTGCTAGTCCAGCGTACCCGAGGTGCTCTGAAGAAGAATCCGGCCCTTTGCGTGGTTTTGAAAATCTCCCTCTGCCCCTGCTCACAGTGTTTCTCTGTCCATGCCTCTTGCTCAGTGTCATGTCCCCGTCATCCTGGTTTGCTCCTCTCTGCTTTCGCATGCTGGTTTTCATTTCAGTGCCTGGCAGACTCCTACCCAGAGCTTTTCCACGGAGACACTGGGGTATTTGGCAGTGTCTGAAGACAGTGTTGTTAATGGTTATGACTTAGATTGGCATGGATAGGGATGGAGATGGAATTCTAGTGGCCAGAGGCCAGTGCTGCTGCTGCTTGTATGCACAGTACAGCCCTCTTGAGAAAGAATTAACTGATCCCAGTAAGAGACCCACCCTTCTCCTTCCCTAGACACCCTTCATTGTTGTTTTTGAGGCAGTCTCACTGGGGAGCCCTGAGTCCTGAGTGACCTTGAACTCACTGAGATCTACCTGCCTCTGTCTCCCAACCTCTGCTGCCCAATAGTAAAGGTTTGTTTCCTGCTGCAGGCCCTGTGGGCTTTGCAGAAGGCTGTATCTGCACATGACTCATGTTTTCCTCAGGTGCCCTTGCTGCCTGAAGGGCTCCTTGAGAGCAAAGGGTAATTTTTTGGGTCCCTGGCTTGGAGCTGGTGCTTGGGAAGATGGAGGATGCCCAGGAGTCAGGCGGCTCCGGGTTATCTAAAGAGCTTCCAGAGAGAAGGATGTTCTAGTTCCTCACCCCCTCAGGGACTCAGGGCTAGTGTTGTAATGGCAAATGTGAGTTCTGTGGCCAGGCAGGTCATCTAGCAAACCTACAGCAGACTTGGGCTTGAGGCTTGTTGGGGATGAAGGCTTCACACTTGGAGAGCTGTAAAAAGACCAGGTTAGACTAACTATCTTTTCCCCATTTTAGAGTCTCTTCTCCTTCAGGTCCGAGGTAGTAGTGGTACCATACTGAGTACCAAGGACCGTCTGCCCATCATTGCCTCCAGAGAGGAAGTGGAAGCTACCAAAAATCATGTTCTTGAAACCTTCTATCCCATATCTCCTACCATTGATCTTCAGGAATGCCATGTTTATGATGTGAAAGATGACACAGGTAAGGAGCAAAACCTTTGGATTTTAGGCAGGACAGAGATGAGGGACAAGCTTTTTGTTCATTCATTCATTCATTCATTTAGTTTTGTAAGAGAGAGGATGTACTAATAGTCCTGGGTGCTTGGCACCACATATGCATTAGTTATTTTCTTCTAGAATCTATATGGCAGTCCATGCTTCCTAACTCTTAATCTTCTGCCATTCATGTTAGGAATCACTTCCCCCCAGAAATGCTGAACTTTCAGTCTCAATCAGGGACTTTTCATTTATCTTCCCACAGCCCCTGAGTCACCCTGGATCTTGACACTTCTCTGTCTTAGGATGAGACTGATTTTCCTGTGTGGTTCCCCTCTAGACAGTCAGCGGCAGGCTCCACTTTCTTCTCCTTGCTTCCTGTCGAGAGCCTAGTGTGGGATGTGTGCTGAGTGTCTGTGGACTGGGTGTCCGTGTGCTGGGTGTCCATGTGCTGCAATGCTGGAGCAGCCTGGAGGACCAAGACATGCAGGAAAACCTGGTCTCTCGGCCAGCACTCTGCTCCTGGTTTTTCAGAGCCCTTATCCCCGGTGTCTTTCTCCTTCCTCTTTGCCCAGCCCCCAATCCATCAGAAAGTTACTCATAGCCACTCAGAAATGTTCATGACTTGATGAGGTCATGTCTGAAGTGAACAGTTGCTAACTGAAGTTGTAAGGTACAAGGCAAATCGCTTGTTACTAATAGTAGAGTACTAACCTCTGCTTTCTTAATAACAACTACAGCTTTTAGTTATCCATGTTTTAGTGGTGCTGTCTGTGCACTTGGATGAGAGCAAATGAATGGAGTTAGAATGTGTGTTTAGGAAACACCTGCTACAGGTTGGCAAGCATTTTCTGTGATGAACCAAACAGTAACATTTAAAGCATTCTGGGTTTTACAGGCTTCTGTCTCAGCTCCTCAGTAGCCATCCATAGCTCTATGAGCTCACATGGTTGTGTACCAAGTCTCCTTCAGGCTTTAGTACTGCCCTGAGCCAAGGTCAGGACTCTCCTGAGGCTCTGTGGCAGGCTGGTGAGTCTGTGTCTTCTCACCCCTTCTGTCTCTTCTCTTGCAGGATTCCGGGAGGACTATCCTTACCCCCATCCCCACACCTTGTATTTCCTGGAAAAGGCCAATTTACGGCCACAACGCTTTCTTCCAGAACAGCTAAGGGCCAAGATGCTCCTGTTTGCTTTTGGGAATGCCCTGGCTCGGGCTAGGCTCCTCTATGGGGTATGTGTGTGGAGAAAACCAGGAAACTGCTTTCTGTGGGCTTGGCCTCCAGCTGTAAAGACTACTTCTAGGAAGAATGGAGTGGGGACTGACTTTGAGTTTGACTGAGGAATCTTAGGAAAGTGCATTGCTGTTTAACTTAGGCAACCAGCTGACCTATCCTGGGGGCTGACTGGGGCTGGAACTCCATCCTGACACAGCCACCCTGAGTGTCATTTAGAGCTCCACTTTCCAATATGCCATAGACTCACAGGGAAGTAACGCTTCACACTGCAGTTCCCAGCGGGACACGTGGAAAAGGAGGGAACAAGGCACACCCTCCTCAGAAAGTCTATGGCTGTCAGGGCTCCACACACCAGTCTGCTCTGCAGGGTCAGAACTGGAGCATACAGCACCGTCAGGAGACCCAGGAAGTGAGGCAGGCAGTGCACTCTCAGTTCATGGTGGGTAACAGGGATACAAGGTGCCACTTGGTGGTCCCAAGACCTAATTAATGGGAGTGAAGGAATTAGGATTTCCACACCCTGTCTGGTCTAGGTACTGGAAGGATTGGGTTTGATTGGCTGTGTGAGTGGGGAATAGAATGAACTGTCCTGTATTGAGCACCTGACACATCCCACATGTTTTTTTTTTTTTGTTTTTTGTTTTTTTGTTTTTCGAGACAGGGTTTCTCTGTATTGTTTTGGAAGCTGTCCTGGAACTCGCTCTGTAGACCAGGCTGGCCTCGAACTCAAGAGATCCGCCTGCCTCTGCCTCCCTAGTGCTGGGATTAAAGGTGTGCGCCATCAACGCCCGGCTATACATCCCACATGTTAACAAACTGTTGACATCAGTTGTTTTCAAAGTACAGTCAGTCCTGGAGGAGCAATAGGACCTTACCTAGGAGCTTGATCCTTCAGGTAGGGCTGGAGCAAGCTACATAAAGATGGAGAGCTACTCACATGGTTTGCTCTTTTGAACAACCTGTGTGGCAGGTTCTATTAGCTTCACTTTATAGATGAAGGGACAGGCTCAAGGATGTCATACAGAATCTGTCACACCAAATCCAGTAGATTCTATGTGAGACAGGGAGCCCAACTGATGTTTCTGATCATATAGCCAAGAACCCAGGGTGGGCTGGGTCATAGTTCAGTGGCAGAGCACCTCTCCAGCATGTGTATGAGTCCCCGGGTTCCCTCCCTAGCATGGTAAGAAATAGAACCATGGCATCTTCATGTGGCCTTCTTCTGTCTTAACAGTGGGTGGGCTGATGGGCAGCTGGCTTTAGTCCCATTCCCTCACTGTATACTTCCTGATCTCTCTGTAAGATTAGGTAAATCGCCCGTGATTCCACAGCTAATGAGTAGGACAGTGGAGATTGATCTGTGATTCCTGCAGCTTCAAAAGGATGTGTCGCCCCCGGCGTGGGCAGAGGAAGGAAGCAGCACATGCCATATCCCAGCCCCACAGGCTCAGGGTGGTCTCTGCCAGCTCTTGCCAGAAGGGCCCAGGTAGCAGTACTGGCTAATTGCCACTCAGTTAGATAGGAGAAGTGGTCTCCTCCACCGTCTCCAGGTACAGATTATTCCTGGGGCTGTGAAGTTGAGCAGTTATGGGACGAGCCTCCATCTAAAAGGTAAAATTGCTGAGAAATTTATGTACTACCTGCAGTTTTATTGATCTGTAGAGGGAGATAAGAGTCAATACCGAATCTCAGCTAACACTTACAGGTACTTCTCTTTTTATTTATTTCTCATGCGGCTAAGAACAGGTATTTCCAAGACCAACAGCCCTGGTGGGGCCCACACTTGTGACTTCCATTAAGTAGTCCTAAAGTCAGGTGAACCCTGGAGGGGCAAAGCAGCAGCATTTTTGCATCAGGGGTGTCCTGCTTCTTATGGCTGGATTGTGGGATCTTTGCCAGTACTTTACAAAGTATGCAAAAGTGGCAGGCCATAGAATTACCCAACAAGAACACTTAAGAGCAGAGTGGTTTGGTGCACACCTTTAATCCCAGCACTTGGGAATCAGAGGCAGATGGATCTCTGAGTTTGAGGCCAGCTTGGTCTACAATACAAGTTCCAGGGCAGCCAGGGATACACAGGGAAATGTTGTCTCGGAAAAAACAAAACAAAACAAAACAAAACACTTAAGAATGAAAGAGGCACTGGGACACCATATGCATCCTGGACAGTGGGGTTACCCGACTTAGCTCATGCCTGAGGTTGGCCTTGAGCAGATGTCTCCAAACCTTCACTTCTGTTTGCAAAGCAGGAATATACTTCTATTTATGAAAGACAGGCAGGCTGCCAGGACTTGGTAAGCTCCTGTAACTGTTCTGAGTGTCATTACTGCCACCATGAGAACTTTGCAGACCCTGGCTGTGACATGCCTGGAGTACACCCTCCAGGAATGTGGCCCCTCTACAAGTTACAGTAAGCAAATGAAACCCAGATGACTGACTAGGGTAATGCCAGGCCCTTCTGAGCAAGGCAGATTGGATAGCACGTCCAGTGTGTCTCTGTGACTTCAGACCAGTCAGTTTACCATGCTGACTCTGTCTCCTCAACTGTCAGATGGAGTGAAAACTGATTGACAGGTCTAATCATAAGCTTCCAGATTAGCCTTTGATAACTGATGTCACTGTTGTCTTATTGGATAAGGCAGGGGTGTGAGGAATTCCCTCCGTTAACCTCCCACTGTCCTGAACGTGAAGGCTTGCCCAGTAATTGCCAGTCAGCAGTGGGAGTTAGTGTTGGAGTTGAAGAGCAGGTTTTTGGGGCCTTGAGGCAGAGGTCAGGCTAGGTCAGGAGAGGCCAGGCTGGGTGAGGGGAAGCCTGGCTGGGTAGGAGGAGGCCAGGCTGGGTGAAGGGAGACCAGGATGGGTGGGGGGAGGCTGACTGGACTGTGGAACTCCTCATTCTGCCCTACCTGCCCTGAGGTGAAATCATAAAAAGGAGCAGGTGGGTGTTTCAAAGGCTGGAATCGGGAAGCCTAGCATGCATTCTTCGCTGCATAGTTTGTTTGCCTGTCTGCTTTTCTTAGAACGCCACCAAGGTCTTGGAGCAGCCCATAGTCGTGCAGAGCGTGGGCACTGATGGCCGTGTCTTCCAGTTCCTCGTGTTGCAGTTGAACACCACAGATCTGACCTCTAGTGAGGGCATCAAGAATTTGGTATGGATAGACTCAGACCAGCTCCTTTACCAGCACTTCTGGTGTCGCCCAGTCATCAAAAAGAAGGTGGTGGTGGTAAGTCCAGCTGCCTCGGGCCTGGTGATTTCAACAGGGCCTTGCCTTGTCTATTAGAGTGAGCCTTGGTTGGGCCTGGTCTGGCAGGAGGGGCTGTAGGAACTGAACACTCGTATCTGCCTCCCCTTCTCTTCAGTTCCTGTTGTGGGAGACTGTCCCTGTGTCCACTCCCCCACCTGCTACAGTGCTGTGGTGGCTCTGTTACAGCAGTCACATTGCTGTCTCGTGATAATGACTAAGCTCGCCGGAAGGCGAGTCTGTGAGCACTGCAGTCAGCCAGGTGGATCTCCTCCTGTGACCCTGTCCCTGCTGCACTGGGGCTCAGCTGATGTCCAGCCTGCTGTCTGTGAGCACTGCAGTCAGCCAGGTGGATCTCCTCCTGTGACCCCGTCCCTGCTGCACTGGGGCTCAGCTGATGTCCAGCCTGCTGTCTGTGAGCACTGCAGTCAGCCAGGTGGATCTCCTCCTGTGACCCCATCCCTGCTGCACTGGGGCTCAGCTGATGTCCAGCCTGCTGTCTGTGAGCACTGCAGTCAGCCAGGTGGCTCTCCTCCTGTGACCCCGTCCCTGCTGCACTGGGGCTCAGCTGATGTCCAGCCTGCTGTCTGTGAGCACTGCAGTCAGCCAGGTGGATCTCCTCCTGTGACCCCGTCCCTGCTGCACTGGGGCTCAGCTGATGTCCAGCCTGCTGTCTGTGAGCACTGCAGTCAGCCAGGTGGATCTCCTCCTGTGACCCCGTCCCTGCTGCACTGGGGCTCAGCTGATGTCCAGCCTGCTGTCTGTGAGCACTGCAGTCAGCCAGGTGGATCTCCTCCTGTGACCCCGTCCCTGCTGCACTGGGGCTCAGCTGATGTCCAGCCTGCTGTCTGTGAGCACTGCAGTCAGCCAGGTGGATCTCCTCCTGTGACCCCGTCCCTGCTGCACTGGGGCTCAGCTGATGTCCAGCCTGCTGTCTGTGCAGGGGCAGTGATGACATTAAACTAGCTCAGGCTAGGATGGAGCGGAGAGGAGCACTCTGGGGATGGGAGGGCAGAGCACAGGAGCTACGGGGTCTGTGACCCGCTGTTCCCATGGGGCCTGTGTGCCGACTGACTCGGTGGAGCTGGGTGGTCTTTAAATTGAGTCAGTTCTGTGGTGACTTCTGCAGCCTGTCAGGGTGTCTCTCCCTCGAAATGCTGTGTGAGTCTGGACCCTTCTCTGGCCTGGGCCTCTTGTCTCCAAGCCACCCCATCAGTCATCTGTCTCCTGTCTCCAAGCTGTCTTTCTTCTGGATATGAACTCAGTGGCAGGCCTGTTAGTCAGGACTCCCACTTAACCTCTCCAGTTCCATTTCCTGCCTCTGCATCCCACCACCATGGGCTTGGGTGCCAGTCTTGCCTTGTCTCTTCCTGCCCTCCTTTGTGCCCGTGTTACTGTATGCACCACCTCTTCCTCCTTTTCTTCCAAGCCCATTCTGCTTGTCTGTGATGTGTGAAAGTGAGTCAGTCACACACATACACACACCCTTAGTCTCTTTATATTGCTTCTGTATTGAGGTCTGACACCTTTTCTTGTCAGTATTTTCTTTTTCTTTCTTTCTTTTTTTTTTTTTTTTTTTACGAGACAGGCTTTCTCTGTATTGTTTTGGAGGCTGTGGGTCCAGTCCGGCCTCGAACTCACAGAGATACTCTTGTCATTATTTAAACATGGAAGTTTCTTGAGGCTAGGAACCAGATCTTCATCCTTCCTGGACCTCCAACAGTGAGCACAAGTCTAACACGGTGAGAGCAGGAGTCTGCAAAGCAGTTTAGGATGGGGAGTCCTTGTCTCTTCCTGGTGGTAAGGGGACTTAGGGAGCAGAGCAGATGGTTCAGCTGACGGTGACAGAAACCCTCAGCATATCTGTAGTACCAGCTCCCAGAAGTGATATGGGAGAAGGACCATGATTCACCCGGCATCGAGGATTCACAGAAGAGTGACCTGTCTTCTCATTTACTGTCATGAAACCTGGTAGCAGGATCCTAATTGTCTGTGTTCTTTCCAGGAAAATGTTGGGCCTGTTGATTTCCAGCCAGAGACATTCAGGAAGTTCTTAGCTCTGTACTTACATGGTGCTGTGTGAACTTCTGGGGCCTGACACTCTACCTTCTTGCCTCTGAAGAGCTTGCAACCTAGGGAGGTAAAGCCTGGGCAAGCCTTCCCACTCCCTTTCGCTCTGGTGGCAATAAAGAGTCTTTGTATTGCAGTGTGAGATTGTCTGTGAAGTACTGCATGTAGACCATGTCGTGTGCCTCCTTGCCTCTTAAGTACAGCCCTGGACCAGTGTGCTTTGACTCGTGGACTCAGATGAGCGGTGCCTGAGCTTCAGGTTTCCCCATCCAAACCGTATCACTTCCCTTGGAGTTTTTGGGTGCCCCCCCTTTGGTTTTTGAGACAAATTATTGCTATATAGCCAGCCTTGCCTTGAACTTGCCATCCTTTGACCTTAGCATCCAGATACTGGGATTTCAGGCCTTTGCCACAACACCCTGTGTCTTGGGTTTTTTTACCCTTTCTGTACCGGGGATCGAACCTCACTATCACTGAGCCACATCCCTGCCCCCTTCCTAATGTTGAAGAGTGGAGCTCTGAGTCTGCCCTGTCTACCTCATGGCAGGTACTGTAAACATGTGCTAAGTCCTTATGGAGAATTTCAAGTATGTAGGTGTTTTGTCTGTCTGTCTGTCTGTGTTACCCATGAGTGCCTAGTGCCTAAAGAGGCCAGAAGATTCCCTCAGAACTGGAGTTACAGCTGGTTGCATGCTGCCATGTAGGTGCTGGGAACTGATCCTGGTTCCTCTGGAAGAGCAGCCACTGCTCTTAACTGTTGAGCTATTTAAATTGTACACATATCCTCTGACTGTAGAGGCCCATTGTAGATTCTTCTTTCCTGCTTGATGGGTTTGGCTGATGAGTTTCCTGTCTGCTGGCCTCCAAGTAACTTCAAGTCCTACTTAACATTGTGCTTTTCGCACATAGCAGGATAGTTGTACAGTAAGTGCCACTGTCACAGTCAAGAAAAGTACTGGGAGATGAGTATGTGGAAGACAGTTCTTTCCCTAAATTGAGGACTCTTAAGAAGCAGCGCTACACTCCCACAGCTCGTGTCCTGAGTCAGCTTCCCTGGTCTACACTTAGGGACAGAGACCTGGGTGTGGATGTTTGCGGAGAAAGTTGGCCCAGTGCCTGGGGGGCAGTGTGAACACAGTGGAGAGACGGAACATGCCCACTGAAGTTGTGGTCACACCTGAGGCCTCGGTGGGGTCCACAGAACCCCAGAGCCGCTGCTCATGCATGGATGAGCCTGCCTACACCGACTTGACTTGTCACGTGACTGTGTAACTGCCACTCCCACAGAGGTGGCTCTGTTGACTGAATACTCAGGTTTCCTATGGGGAGCACACGGAGAGCATGGGCCTCGTCTGTCCCCCTCGAGGCTGTGCTCTTCCACTTCACGTTAACTTCTTGGCAGGGGCTGTGGGACTGGGGGGATGTGGGCAGGAGGGGTCACCAGGAAGATGTTAGAGAAGGAATATGGTGCGTCAGGTGCCTGGGAACAGGGAGCATGGGGGTTGGGGTGGCTCATGAGACCTTGAACACCAGGTACCTTGCACTTTCCAAGGGAAGTAGGCGGTCTGCGTGGTGTCCAGGGAGCCTTGTTGCCAGTTTGACCTTGTCTTGAAGGATGAAGACTGAGGGACTTTAGAAAAAAGTACAAAAGTTACCACTCACCCTGAGCAACCCCTAGTCCTCTCAAGGTATAGTCCAGGTTACCTTCCACATGTCCAGATGTGTGTGTCCTAAGCATACAGCTGTGTCTACTTAGTGTCCTTGCACACTTACCTAGTCTTGGGAGTCTCAGGTCCTGCCACACCAGCACGGGCAGTATGCCCCTACTCCCTGTGCTGCAGTTGTGGCTGTAGATGGCCACACAGGTTGTTTCTGGCTATCAGTTATCACAAAATGCGGCAGTGAGCGCCCCCGCCTGTGGCTCCGAGTCTGCTCTTGCCAGCACAGCCATGGGGTACATTGTTGGCCCTGGAATTGCTGTGTCAGAGGTTTTTCAACACTGGTGGAAGTGCAGAGAATGGGCAGACAGCTGAAAAGGCCACTGCAGGCCACCATGGTAATCCTACAGTGGCCGTGATGGCGGGAAGCCTAGGGCAGCCTAAATCCTACAGGGACTGGCTTGTCGGCTGGTGCAGAGGGTGACATGAACAGTGAGGGTCGAGGCTCTCCGAACAGTTGGCCCACAGCCTTGGGACTTGAGACCTAAGCATGACCCAGGATGGGCCAGCATTACAGGGCTCGCAGGCCATGTTCCCCTAGCTCCAGAGTGAAGACCTCCTGCATACTGGTCATGGTCCTATCACATGGAAGGACCCAGAATCAACAGCACAAGAAGCCAAGCTGAACACAAAGTGCAGCTTTTCTGTACTGAGGCAGGAGGAATGGCGGGGTTTCCCACCCCCAAAGAGATGGGGAAACTGAGGCTGAAGGGCCCACATAATTTACTGGTTAAGAGACAGAAAGTTCACGTGTGGTGACAACTGCCACCTCTACAGAGATAAATTACTTCCCCACTCCCCTGTGCCTTGTCTCTTCCACTTTTCCGTTTTCCCTTTTTTTTTCTCTCCACGTTTTTGAGACAGGGTTTCTATTTACAGCCCTAGATGCTTTGGAACTCACTCTGTTGACAGGCTGGCCTCAAACTCAGAGATCACCTGTCTTTGCCTCCCGAGTGCTGGGATTAAAGGCGTGCACTACCACCGCCACCGGGCTACTTTTCTTTTTCTTAAACTTTATTTTTTGTGCATTGATGTTTTTCCTGAATGTATGTGTGAGGGTGTCAGCTCCCCTGGAACTGTAGTTACAAACAGTTGTGAGCTGCCATGTAGGTGCTGGGAATTGAACCTGGGTCCTCTGGAAGAGCAGCCAGTGCTCTTAACCAGTGAGCCATCTGTCCAGCCCCTTTGCTTTTCTCATGGGGTGACAGTACATCTGTGTTGCTCAGGGCTGGCCAGCCTGAATCTGAAAGAAGGAAGTCTGTGAGGGGGAGGGAAGGGAGGGATGCAGAGTCATACTTGGATGAACTGCCCAGAGGACTTTAAACAGAACTGGGGCCAGAATAACATTCTCCCAGTGAGCCTCAATGTGCCCAGTCCATCACAAAGCTCATTTCTGCTGAGAGGAGGTAGACAACTATAATCCAGATACTTAGGTGGAAGCAGGGTCAGAGGTTCAGGGCCATCTTTGCCTACGCTGGGGATTCTGTCCAGTTTGGGCTAAATGAATCTTGAGAAAGGGTGGCTCAATTCAGTCTCAAGGGAATTAAGTCTGACCTGGGAGGAAGTCATTCCCCACAGCCTCCAGCTCCCCCATATTCTCCTCTGTGGAGTAAGGATGGTGCACCCCATCACAATTTTTCACCTTTAGTTGGGTGGGCTGCATCTGGCCTGGCTTCCCTGAGACAGGTTTGGAATTTTATAAGCCCCACTTATAAAATTCTGCCCAATGTGACTCTTAGCAGGTGTTAGCCAGGGGCTTGGTGATTTCACTTGGAGGGCTATGTCTCTCTCACTCATGCCTTGTAACAGGGTCAGCTCAGACTCTTATTCAAGTTGAGTCCCTTGAAGCAGTCATAAGACCTGATGGTATCAGAATGTCCCCTTAATATGTCCCCATGAATGCTGAGTCCCATGGTATGGGGAACCTGAATCACTCCACCCACTCCGGGAACTTGTGTGTACTTCCAGTAACTGTAGTTTTGTTCCTTGCCTCAGATGTCAAGTTAGCAGCCACTGCTAACTTCTCTCATCGTAGTCCACCAAGTGTCTAGTATGTCCAGGCCTGAGCAAGGCTGTGGATACTGACTGAGCAGACAAAACAGGTCCTTTACATTCCTGCATAGAACTGTCCTACATTTAAGGCAAGATAGTGCCACCGTTCGCAACCCCCATCAGCTACTGGTCACTGCCTGGTAGGAGGTGAAATCTTGAGGAAGGCAGCTCCTAGGAGGGATATAATTGGGAGCCACAGCTGGGGATGTTACCACTGCCCTCCGAGGCCAGGGAGGGTATACTGAGTGAACAGGCCCTATGCATCAACATCACAGGCAAAGGCCTCAATGGAGGGTAGCAAAACCAGATTATCTGGAGTCAGTGTGAGCTCTGAGCAGGGTTGGCTAGAGCAGCCAGCATGCAGAGCACTGGCCCATATCCCCATCACATTTGCAGTATTGCACCTGGGCATCTTTGCCAAAAAACCAAGTACAAGTGACTGGGTAGCCAAGCCTCCAGAGACCTTTTAGGAGGTGGCAGTCCAGCCAAATCAGGTCTGGTGTCAGAGTGAGCTGGCCTAAGCTCCAGAGCTCCCCTGGGAAATACTTGTGTATCTTCGGCTGCATATACACCCACCCTGGGTCCCAGGAACCAGACCTCCTCACACACACACACACCGCCCCTTCCCCAGCCGGCTCTCAACACCTCCCCACGGAAGGCCCTCTAAGCACACTCCTGTGATTTTTAGATGTTCTGGTGGAATGTCATCCTGTAGCTTCAGCTCCAGGCCTCATTTCTGACTTCTGGGCCACACCCATCATCTCCCAGTAGGGGCCTTCCCTAAAAAGACTTGAGGTGGGGGATGATGGAACTTGGATAGCCTGGTGTCTGCTTCCCAGATCTGCCCCACTTCTCCGTTCACAGAACTAGGCTGGGTTGTTGAGTAGGGCTGGCAGAGCAAGGGCAGCACTTCTTGGTCAGGATGCTGCCCTGTGAGGGACAATGGCTTCATGCCAGCTCCCTCAGGTCATATCTCCCCAGACCTATCTATCCAGGGAGTGGGTTTGTGGCCCAGGGCAAGACCTCCATCTCTACGTCCAGCCTGTAGAGAGCAATGTGCCCCACCCTGAACACATACATGATTTACAGACTTCTAACCCAGATAGACACATGTGTCAGGACTGGAGTCCTGAGGTTCCCTACGCCACTATTCTACAAGTATGTTCTTTGTACCAGCCAGTGTGCTGAGATTGTGAGATTCAAGCTGGAAGTCACAATCCATTCCTAATTCCTAGGCTGCCTAGTGGTCACTGGCTGTTAACTAGTCTCTGGACCTACAGTAAACAGGTATCCGTCCACTAAGGCCACCTTTCCCCGGCATCTAAGGCCCTGCCCACAGGTAAAACCATGGGGGACAGATGCCCTG